TTGAGGTCGTTTACGGTGTGGTGCACTTGATACCTACTTGATACTTGATACTTGATTGGCCTACCAGGGAAGAGTTTTTACACTCTTCCCTGATTTTAGCATGTACTAAATTACAGTGTTCTCATTTGCTACCTCGATGCGGGTAAACAAGGTGTTTTTTATTTTAAATTTAATTGTACGCACCAGGGGTGGCACCATGATTTCCCCGACGTGGGGTCCGAGGTCCCCGACGGGAGGGGGCGAGGTCCCCGACGGGAAGGGGCGACGCCTCTGACGAGGGGGAAGATTTCGGAGACGAGAGCAAAGTAGGCGTAGTCGAGCATCGCTTAAAATATTTCGAAAGTGGGCAACGCGGCGAAGCCCCCGAACATTTTGACAATTTAGGGATTTTAAATGCTTACTGGCATTTAATCGATTTTCTAGTCTACTAATACGTACAATATACATATAATTTTTTTTTCTCCAACGAATTGTGGGTTTTCTCCCCGACGAGGGGTGGGAGCAGCTCTCTTCGACGGGGCCCAGGCCTCCAACACCTGTCTCTTATACACAGCCCCCCCACCTCGCTGGCGCCCCTCCGGTAAGCACAACAATCGAGATTTAGTGACGGTGTGTGCGCCGGGTCTAAGGCAAGGGTTACACAGTTTACTGTATATCATAATAAAAGGAGGATGCCTTCATATTATATCATTTTTTTCACATTACCGATCATTTAGGCCTACTACATATATATTTTTGATTTTTTAAAATTAATTTGAGGGGAGAGGGTGGGTTCAGGTCCCTTGATCCTTCCCCCCACCCAGCTGCGCCCCTGCGGCCAGCGAAGGCCCAGTGGTGCCTCGTCTGCATATATAGCAGGTACAGTCATGGGAGTCGATCGGTGGGGGACAGGGAGACACGTCAACATGATATCACCAATCACTTTTCACCAATCTTCAATAGTTAAAACCCCACTTTTCAAAGCGAGTGGAAAGAACAACAACAATTACGAATGTCTGTCATGAATTTTGTCTATTCACTTGTGCTCGTTCCAAGTGCGGTGCGTATTTCCAGACCAGTATTGAGTAAAAACGCAATTATTTGTTCATTTCGTAACCATCTAGGTGAACACCCTATCGATTTTATGGGTGCAATGGTTATCAGAGGCTAAATTTATTAAACAATTATTTTATACAACCTTTGACACGGATAGGTCTGTCTATTTCAACTTATTTAAGTAAGTAAATCACCTTTTATGTTTGTGAAATAAAAATGCAAACTAATATTTTAATATTTTGTGTGCATCCTATCTCCTTAGTCCTGTTTGATTTCCACTCACAATAGTGTAGTCGCAATACTACTTGCACAAAGGTGAAATTCAAAAAGAGGAGAAAAGGAAAAACGTGATTGATTTTAAATGTACTGTACAAAGAGACCATTTCTAACCTTAATAATTTTGCATTCTAAAAACTACAATTTGATTCATGAAAATTGACCAACAAAATGAAAAGTTATAGCAAATGAAAATTTACGATTTTTATAAATATTCATGTTCTTATATAACTTTATACTGTGATTTTGACAATGCTGGACTAAGGTGCACAAAATGAAAATTTGAGTAAATATACAGAAAATTTATTTTTATTATTTTCTCATGAACCACAGGACATCATTGAATTTTGAAAGTACTGTACATGCAATAGACTATAGCAGGTGTTCTCAACTGGCGGCCTGTGGTCAATCTCCGGCCCTCGAGAACAAGCCAAAAATTATAGTTTCCGTTAGGCTTGGGCCTAGATTTCTAATCTTAATAATTTTGCATTCTGTTTTGCCGCCTAGGTCTATGTATTGCCCACAAATTGTAGCAATTTAATCAATCAAATCAAAAAAACTATCGGGGCAAACAGCAAAGAAATATTACCGATGACCCATTGTGTGATACATAAGCCTATAACATTTTGTCTTTTACATCACCAAACACAAGGGTAACTTTCTTAGGCCAAGATGTCCTGTATGACCGTCCAGCGGCTTATTATTTTCAAACAATTTCTAATTCGTGAAGGGGGCCACCCCCTTCCAAACCCTCCCTCGGCTCGCACCTGCGGCGCTCCGATGGCGCTACACGTCGCAGTACACCTCTTTTCCTGGGTATTCCTTGAACAATTTTGGCCCCCTATTGCGATGACTTGAGAACCACTGAACTATAGAATTGGAGTGACTGTTTTTCCACGAAGGAACGAGGTTTACCATTTGCTTTTCATGGTTCGAATACGCCACAAGCTCAGTAGATAATAAACTCCATCTGTTAAGGTCCCCCAAAAGGTCGCCTCCCCTTTTTTCTGCCATCCGGATCCGCCACTGTATTTTGAAAATGTAGTGTGGAAATAAATTTTAATTGCATTCTTTAAAATCAATTACTTATAAAAGGCCATAGACACCAGAGCTTCCGGTGGCTTCGCCACCTGGACCCCCAATGGTGGCCCCCCTGGCCCCCAACCAGGACTTCCTTATTTTGAAATTTGTTCCCCCACCCCCACTTTTCACAACGGATCGACGCCCATGGTTATAGTTGAAGTAGCGGTCTCGAATCGGGTATTACTATTACATTGTCTTCTTCTCTCCCTACCTGGATATAACCTGTCTGGTAGATTCTTGTATGTGTCAATTCCCAGCTCTGAATCATTAGCCTGTTACAGTGCACCTTCTCGTTCAAGAGTCAAGACCCCCTCTAATTTCGAGACTCCTCTGGACCACTTCAGAACCAAATAACAATCAATTCAATTCAATTCAATTCATTTTATTCAGTCTATTATACATGAATATAACAGAAATGTGTTTTGAAGCTAAGCGATCAAACATAAATATAAGTATTAAGCGATGTTAGAACACTAAGATAAACTATAAAAACATTAAAAGACAATAAAAGGCATCGTCAGTAAAAAAAAATCGTCAATCTTTTAACACAAATTTAACCCTCTAATTAGTAACCGTACCCTGAGACAACCCCCATTTTGCAGGTCTTAAAATAGGTCACGAGTTGTAGGGTGAACTAAACACTATCTAGTTAATCAGCGATTGACTACTGTATTATTTATTTAACATATAACTGACTGGGTGAAAGTCGCTCCATTCTCAGAATGCAGGAAAGTGCATATCCGGGACTTAACAAAATCATCAGGAAAGGTTTTTTTTTTCAGAACGCTTCATTACTGTTTCTTACCACCAAAATTAGTGTCCAACGTGCCGGATTATAATAATGAATAATTACATTAACAGGTGAAAAGAATTACCAAATTTAAATAATAAAAATATTAATTTCTATTTATGATTTAATGACTGACATACATTAATAATGAATTAATCTATTGATATTATTTGTCATAATAAAAAAATGATGTTAAATCATGTTCAAATGATATAAGGTAACTGTATCTTTAATTATATCGAGGATAATGCAAATCTCTCGAGTTTCAAATCAGCGTTCCTGGTTATATAGCGCCCTCAACCTATTAAAACTAGTAAACTTTTCTAGCTTTACAAGTATTAGTGTCATTGAAAGATTAAGCCTGGATTGAGAAGGCTTTATTGAACTTAAAAAAAGACTATTGGTTTTTTTTCTTTACTAGAAAATAGCCAGAGTACAGTTGCACAGTGACAGTCGGCCGTATGATTGCTAACACTTGAGTGGATTAATCTGTTAAATGAGAAACTATAGATGGCCGATAAGTGTTTTTGTTTCTGTAATTTACGAATTCTCTTTAACTTTTGTTACAAGGATGCGTCATAAGTTTTAAAAATCAAATATTTGAATCACAAATGGCAATAAAGATAAGAAAATTAATGTTCTCATTACTTTTATATATTATTATTTTCCAAGGAGTTTCTACCTGCATTATATTGAAGCCGGGCACTCACTGTCATTTTATGTCCACCGTACGACAGCCGAACTCATCTCCGGTCTAATCGAACGCTTGTTGACAACGCATCGCTGATTGCCGCCAGCAGACTGAGCGGATCGTCATTAACGACGACCGGTTGCATGCGCCTCGTCGCATTGCGTTCTTCATTCATAATGCTTGGTTTCCTTAAGATCGCTACAATAGTCGATCGTCGCTATAGCGTTTCAGTGCAGTCGTTGTACTGCGTAAGCAGTCTTCTACGCATCGGGAAGTCTGCCTGATTCGACCGACTATCAGCGTCGGCGAAAGCGTGTAGCGATTTTGTTTAAATGAAAACCAGGCTTAATATATTCTAATAATCGCATCGGCCGCCAACCGTCGGCGGCGCTGTGCTCGTCATTATTTGGTGTGTTTTTTTTTTTTTTTTAAGAATATTGTGCTAATATGAAACATTACAACATTGACACAACACAAAGTATCTTTTTAAAATTTGATATATTTCATGGGGTCCTTTTTTAATTGTACAGTAACATAGTTAGTTAGTATCTAAAATAGTTTTGTATTACATTATATTAAAATGCAATAAGTTGTTCAAATTAATTGTAAATGATTTCTGAATCCAGAATCCAGAATGAGCTTATTTCTAAATGTAATGTTTCTTGATATTAAAATGTATTGCTCTGTAGCACGGCAAACACAATATAATCCAATAGATCTTAGCAGTTTCCATGGAAGTTTGGACTACAATTGACAAGTGCATAATCTGTCTCTTATACACATCTAGATGTGTATAAGAGATAGATTTTTCAGTGGGATTGAGCACTGTTTCAAGGATGATGACAAAAATAATAATTTATATATATATATATATATATATATATAGTAGGATGATGACAAAAATAATAATATAGGCGGATGACGTTTTTTCTGCTCTCTTCTTCAGCGTAATGCCTACTGTAGGCATTATGCTGAAAAAGAGCGCAGTATTCGAATTTTCTTTAATTTTTATATATCCTGGAAAAACGTCAACCGCCTATGTTATTATTTTTTGTCATCATCCTACTATATGTTAATCAGGATATACGTGCAGCCATCACTTTGATGCATATATATATATATATATTTTTTTTTTATTAAAAAAAAAGAATAGCTTGAATCTTGTTGCCATCTACCGATTGAGATTAGCAGGATCATTGCAGGGTTTCTTGCATACTCAGATGAAAATGTGCTAAAGTTACACATTGTCGGGAAAAGAGAAAGAGAAGTAAGACTAGACAAATGTAGGAAGAAAGAAGTGGGAAAAAAACTGTCCAGGGAGCTCTCATCTACCCAGGAGAAATATCCTCATTTTAAAATTCATAAAAGAAAACTTGAATCCACTCCGCAGCTCAAATCATGCCAACTACAATTCCAGGATCGCTTAGATAACTGGATTGCTAAAACAGTATCACATGATATTGTTTTGAAAAACGAATAAAAAAAACAAAAACAAAATTGAGGGTGCACTTATTTGAGAGGGGCGCTTATTCAAACGGGGCGAGTATTCGCATATATAGAATACGGTATATATAAAATCATAGGTTCTTTATGAGTTTGAACAGATTTTTTCTATAGCGAAGAATGTCCTCAATGTCCTTCATTTCTAGTATGCTGGCCATGGACAAGGAATTAGCAAACATATCAACATTCACCTTTAAACCAGACAAGATACCCATCTGCAACTTCAAAGCTATACGTATGGAATCCTCCATTGTCTGAGCAGGAGTGAAGAGTTTCATTTCCCATAGCTTACAAACTTTGACATTGTGAGGAAACAACTTGGTTCTAATCTGTTCAGACTTATCTGAGAAAATTTCTTTTATTTTGTGCCCAATAAACATTAAATCAGCTACAGATTCTGAAGATTGTTTTAAGTCATCATGGATGCTGAATATAAATGTGACATAGACATCTGGTGTTCTGTTATTTTGGATGCATGCAGTGCTGAGGAATGTGTTGTCAGGAACTGCCACCAATTGCTTAGACTCGAGTCTGCAGTTACTAATGATGCAGTTACTGCCAATTCTGACATTCCTTAGATAGCTGTACTCCACAACTGACAAATGAGTTTGATCCACATGATTATCAACTAATGAATGCATCAAACACATCTTCTTTGTGCCATCTTTACTTACTTTCATCTTCTTGTTATCAGGTTCCTCAGATGTGTTGGCAGCATGGTTATTGATGCACAACTGGTTCTGTAGTTCTGCATCGTCACAGAGGTGCTTAAGATATTCTGTGGTTGTTCCAAGATGGTAGAAAACTGAGTCACTAAAAGCAATGACATTGAATGATGTCCTAGAGAGAAGATTGAATACTTTTTCTCTTGTTTCAACAAGTGTATCTGTCTCGTTGCTAACATTTACTGAATTCTTTGTATATTCTGGTGTTGCTCTGCAACCAAGAGCTTGCAAGAAGTCACCGTATGCATCAATTTCACAAAGTATTGGTGCATGATCCCGATAGAATTTAATAAGTCTGCTGGCAGTAGAGAAGTCCATATAATAAGCACTGTCTGTGTAGACAAAATCTTTGGAAGTCTTCACTGATAGTGGAGAATGCTTCCTTATGGCACCCTGCTCTTGCATGACCTCCACAGAAGGTTTATGAAGAAACTGAAGACATTCAACTAATTTAGAATCACAAGACTCTAGTTCTAAATCCTCTTGCAAGACAAACACGCCATGAGTTGTGCCAAGTAATAATGATGACTGGTGTGCCAGAGCTGTGAATCCTGGTGTTTTGAAAGACCACTGATCCTGCTGATCACTGCCACTCAGAACAAAGAGTTCTAAAGTGTCTGAAGAGCATACAAACACCCCTGGATCCATTCTTGAAGGAAAGTCAATATATGTTATCAACTTCATCTCCAGCATTTGATACAATGGATCCCCTAGAGGCACAGGCATGAATGCTTTACCCAAAAGACTGGCATTTGGTAATCGCTGGCTATAGCCACCGGCATGGATAAGAAGTACCTTCATCAACGCTAGGCTCTCTTCATATATTGTCTGCAAATGGGACATAGCATGCATAGTAGATCCACCATTCCCTAAAAAAAAAAAATAATAATAATAACATTTATAATAGAAATATAAAAAAAAAGCACCCCTGAATTTTGAAAGGTAAATACTTCTACTCTGAATGTATAACATTCATTTATATAAAGTACCGCAGTTCCTCTGGCAAATGTCCACCCCTTTACCCCCTAACACAAAATTGGGCAAATTTTTTGGGGGGTTGGCTTATACTCGGGGTATCCCCTTTTTAATGCAATAGCAATTTTCCAGCACTGAATTCCAATTTCAACGACAATATTTGATGTTTTTTCTGAGAATATTTGTAAAAATCATACAATGGGCTTTTGCATGAGGAAAAGCTTACATAAAATTGGGGGTTATACCTGAGGTGGGCTCTTACCTGAGGAACTACTTATATATTTCTTATTTCATAAACCAAAATATCAAATTATTATGAGATTCCACTCTTTGATAGACTTACCAACTTTGGCTTCAGGAGGATCAGCAATAGCATGGTACTTCACCCCAAGAGGGAGCTGTTTACTTTTAAGTTTCTCATTCAGTTGCAGTTCATATGCCCTTTTCTGATTCTCATCTCTTGCAGTGATTACCACAATATCCCAGAATGCAACAGTTCCAACATCCTGACCTGCAACGAAAGAAGTCACAAACAATTTTTAATGATAATTATCATGATGGAAGTCAGGACATGATGAAGGTGAGCAATGATGGCGATTATGAAAAATATTATATACTTATATATATAGTTATATTATAATATATTAATATTATATAAATATTATACCTACCTCTTATTGCTTGGAACCTGTTGACCTTATTAGCGGTTGCACTTCTAATATAATCTGTGTTGTAACACTTATCCATCATACATTCATTTCACACACTCCAGAAAATGACCAATAATTGCAATTGCCAAAATCTGAACAAAATAAATAAAGAATAAATGCAGTATAAATAACAGTATAAATTAGTCTAGTCTAGCATACTACAGTAGGTTAGTTGTGTGCAGAACAGAGAGAGGCTACTACTGTACTGTCGTTGAATCTGGATTGTTTTTGGCCCCGAGTCGTTTTGGCACAAAAAAAAGGCCAAAACACATCAGGTTAGGAAGCTGCAAATCTTGGGCAAACCTTGTCAATACTTTTTGTCTTCAATTTGCATTTCTAAATATAGACAGGCCTAGGCCCTACCCAACTTGGCTTATGCCTACACTAGGCATTTTTAATAATCAATTAGGCCTATATGGCTGTTTGAAATATACAGGATAAAATATTAATAAACAGTTTCATATATGTAGTATCTACTTATTTTATATTTAAATTATAATAAAAAGTAAGCTAGGCCTGTTCTGGTAGAAGAATAGAGTAGATATACGCCTAGCCTAGGCACAAGGCCTAGATAGGCGCTAGACTCAGTCTGAGACGCCCAGGCCGGCCAGCCAGCCTAGCTCGGCCCGGTTGGTTAAAAAATAGAAGGGCCCGCCTAGCTAGGCCTAGCCTAGCTATCTATCTAGGGTCCATTTTAATCTAATAAATATAGAATATTTTATGCTCCGCTTTCTGGCTGCATGAATTAGTTTCAGGTGTATTTGTCTTTCATGATACCTGTATGCTATTGCTCTACCGTGTTTTTCTCATTTTTTCGGTTCTTCATTCTGTCCATACGTTAGGCTGACATGTCAACCTTGTTTGTAAACGAAAACCACCAACACGCGTCCATTAAAGGTTAAGGGTTGTTTAATAGTCGTCTGCAATGTTTTACACCAAGTGGAATAGTTGAAAACAATAATACTAAATATTCATAAATTATATTATTTTTATAATATTTGTAACATTAATAAATAAGTTATATAATAACCTTATTTATTAGATGCAAAGCATATCTTATTGTATTTAAATAATTTTAATTTGAATGATTTTTACAGGAAATATTTTGTTGAAAATGGTCTGCTAACGAATCCAGCTCATGTTATTGATTTGTCAGCACAGGAATTGTCCCGAATTTACATTAGAAATTGTCAATTTTCGTCAATATGACTAACATTTATTTTATGGTAAAACAAATATTTAAGGGTAAGTATAGATATTAATCATTAAATTATTTGCTAATTGGCTGAGGTCGTCGTGGTTTCAACAAAACACACACAGACAGCTTTTGAAAATTTCCCCATTCAGTCCAGGCAGGGCCAGGAGGCACAGGTGTCGGTATCAACGCCGACTCTATGGTGGTACAGGTACTATCCTCATGTAGCTAGCCTAGCCTAGCAACCAGTGGCGTGACGGACTAAATAATGAACTCACAACAGATGCACCAATCAAATTACGATTCAGATATGTAATTTACTCTCCTTTTTTCAGTTCAAAGATATAAAATGTTAAAATTATGATGTTTAATTATACTGTATTTATATTTATTTATTTACCAAATTTATAGTGCCCTTTTCATGAGTATTCATGTTCAAAGGCCCTTTATACATAAAGATACAGAAATACAATACAAAAATATAAATTTAGAAAAATTTGACATTAATTACTGTATACAATATCTGTTATTCATAGAATTATTGTTGAAATTGATTTACTGTTTTGTAAGTTTTGTTCCATAGTTTCTTATTCTGTATTTAGTATTATGTAGTATAGTATTTAAAATGTAAATTTGCCAGTTCTGTAGGCCTAATAAAAAAAAAATACTTGTTTAGGGTCACATATCAACAAAATTATAGGTGGGGAGGGGTGTTTTTTTTTTTTTTTTTTTTTTTTTTCAATCAATCTGCAGTATCAGTAATCCATGAATCCGTGTTGGATTAGATGCTACTTTAGCCATGCCTAAGCACAACTTGGAATGGATTGTATGCAGGGGTTTAGCCGGAAAAACGAAATAGGTCGTCCAAAATGATTGCATCAGTTACAAACTCACACACTCCCACTGAGCATGATCCTACATTTTTACTTTTCAACATCATGATCAAAGTAAATCGAAACAAAGAAAATATTTTTAATTTCATTCAGAAAACAAAAGTGTTGAAATTAATCATTTTCAATAGGCCTACAATAAATATTACACCTACAATATAGTGTCATAATCATTGTTTTTAATTGATTTACAATATTGATTTTGATTGTCATGTCTTAGAAAAATATTCATTTTTTATTAATTAAATAAAATCCCGCTTCTAAAATATTTAAATTTTGGGCAAAAAATTCAGGTGGGGGTAGTGACGCTAAACAAGGAATATTTTTATTTGGCCTTATTGTGTGTGTTATTTTTTTTTTTTAATATATATTATTTTGTATTCAGAGTATATAAAAAAAGTTAAAATCGTAATTTCTCATTTACTTTTTAGTTTTTGGTGTTGCAATATTGTTTGGAGCCTTGTACATTATATATGATTTAATCCGACAACGGCGGACGTCAACGCACACAATCAAATCTGCGTTATATCAGTATATTGGGTTTAATGTATTTAATCTGATAGGGATAAAAATGAAAAAAAAGCTGGAGCAAGAAACAAAAAAATGTAAAGAAGTTCAGGAAAAAATTCTGTTTGAAAGAATTTCTCGAGACAAAGACACAGTGTATGGGAAGATGCATAATTTTGCAAGCATTAAATCAGTTTTGGAATTCAAAGTACAACATCCGCTTGTAAGGTACGATAAGGTTAAGCCATACGTGAATCGTATCATGGAAGGTGAGGAGAACATTCTCATCGCTGAGCGTCCGTCGATTCTTGCTATCACATCGGGAACATCGGGTAGACCAACGATAATTCCAATGATTAAAAAACAATCGAGTATGTTCCTACTCGAGGGAGTAACTATCTGTATGAATAGAATGTTTGATGCGTACCCACACAGCAAGCAGCTGCAGAAAAGTTTGAAGATATTCTACACACCAAAGGCGCGTACGTCACCAGCAGGAATACCAGTAGGTCCAAACTCCTCCTCACCAAAGAACTCTGGTGGAATGCTGGAGATGTACACGACCCCTCTTCCTGCCTATGACATCATGAAAGAGGAGGAACTACTTTACATTCATCTACTTTTTGCGCTCTGTGATCGCAACCTTGGAACCATCGAAGCGAACTTTGCCTCTTTAATTCATTCAGTTTTCGTGGCCATGGAACTCCAATGGCAACAGTTAACTAAAGATATACAAACCGGTCGAATTAATCCCAGCCTGGATATCCCAGATTCCATCCGGGAAAGCGTTCAGAAACACCTTAAACCTGATCCAGATCGAGCAGATGAATTGCGTTCCCAGTTCTCTCAAGGGTTCAAAGGTGTAGCTAAACGATTGTGGCCGCATTTGAACGTCATCCTAGCTACCGATACGGGAGCCTTCGACTTGTACGGTAGGAAGCTAAAAGCATACTATACATATGGTGAGAAATAATAATAATATCAACATTTAAATTAATTAATATAATATAATACTGGTTCACTTTTGGGATCAGCGCTTATACGATGTTTGTATTACAAACGTCAAAAGCTCTACTCACACTTCAGTGGACATCTCCAGTGGGCAGGGCTTATACTATTATCTTAAACTCTCATTTTTGATTTTATAAACCAAAAATTAAATATTTTATTAACACTCATTTGTTAAGCATATGTAATACTTCAGTAATCAGCAACTTAAAAAGCATAATTTTAATTGGACTTTAAGCAGCTTTGGTCTTTAATTGGAGGTGGTCTTTAATAGGAGGGAGACCTGTAATTCAATAGCTCATGAATTATGTATCTTAAATACTCTGTTTTTTAAATTTTAATGTGAAAGCAATAATTCCATTTCTAATGGGTGATACAGAGGGAGTCCTACTCAAAAATATAAATAAAATAAAAAAAATTAATTATCATTTTACTGATATGGATCTTCAATACCTGTTTTTAACAAAATTACTGATAAAATCTCGGTCAGTCAAAACAGAACGTCATCATCATCATCATCCGGTACATAACCTATTTATAGAGTATACTTGCACAAAAATAATGAACGCCTATGAGTGCAAGCAATGGGAAGAATATTTTCATGAGTCGAAAGATTGACTGTTCCACGTTGAATGGAACAGTCAATCTTTCAACTCATGATATTATCATGAACTATCGAGAGAGGAATTTTACTAATGTGAGTTAGCCAGATTTTGGGATGAAAAGATTAAAGAAACATAAATCATTTATCTATATTGTTCTGGTGCAGACATTCAGTTCTTCAGTGTGATCTCCTAATTGTACCAAAAAAATTGTACTAATGTGAGTTATCCAGATTTTGGGATGAAAAGATTGGGATGAAAAGATTAAAGAAACATAAACCATTTATCTATATTGTTCTGGTGCACAGTTCTTCAGTGTGTATTTTGCAATTGTTCTACAACAAAAGTTACATGTCTCCACAGAACCTGTGCTAATTTTTTTTTTTTATTGTAATCTGTAAGTTGGGTGAATCTTAGTGGATTTAACCTGTCATCTCTCATTTCCACATTTGCCAACTTATGTGTCATAGTAATCTGGGGATTTAAAAAGAAAAACCTTAAAATCTTGAGATTTGCCAATAAATCTGGTGGTTTGTTTTTTTTCAGAATTGAACAAGAAGGACAATGCAAGATATATTCATACAAAAGAAAACTAGTTATTATAAAACACTATTAAGGTCTTTAACCTTGTAAAGAAGACATCCAAAAAGTATACTACCGAAAAAAAAAAAAAAAACCCAGACAGTTCCGGTAAATATTTATCTGATGCAAAAAACTTAAATTCATTAAATCTGGAGGTTTTCAGAAATCATCAATAACAATGCAAGATTCATACAAAAGAATCAGTTATTATGAAATATTACAAAGGAGAAATTGCAAAAGTATGCTACAGTAACAGAGTTTAAAAAAAAAAACCCTGACAGTTGCGGTTAAGATTGATCTGATGAAAAAAAATAGGTTTTGTATACTTGTGATGCTCAAGCAAATTCGCTAATTCCTTCATTTAGTTAAGATATACTCTCAGCAAGTTAGGCCTATAAAATATTTTTCTGGTCTCAAGAACTTGATTGGCAAATAGTGCAAAGCTTTCTTTTCTTCCTGTGGAGTATGCTAATACATATTGAGCTTAATTCAGACTATCAAATTTTTTCTAAATATGGTCATGATGACATCACATACACTGTATACCGTAGTCACATCATAAATATATGTACTATATGGGCATACAACAGTTTTATGTCAAAGAAAATTTAATCTGTTTTTATACAGTTTTATTAATTCTCTTTACATAGGTATTCCTATCTATTCTCCACTGTACGCTGCCTCCGAGGGTCTCATTGGTATCAATATGTGGCCTCAGGATGAAGACCGATACTACATGCTGGTTCCAAACAGCATGTTCTATGAGTTTATACCAATTCAAGACAGGTACTGTATAGTATGAATTAACATTTGATATGTTAGCCATTTTTTTTAGATTTTAAGATCCGTTAATAACGGTAATAGATTGATTTATAATTTTACATGGCGCAAATAAATGAAAATACTGTCAATTAAAAGATATATTTTAATACATAGAATAAATAAGGTATTTTGTGCTTGACATAAATAACTAAATAGTAATAAGAAAGAAAATTCAACAAATGCAATACACCAAGGTTTTGATTTGACTTATTCAATATCTCATTACAAACATAACTACTGTATACAAAACTGAAAAATATAACATGTTGAAAAATCAATGGAGATATTGGGATATTTCCAGAGGAGTCCTTCACTAATATATTAAGAGTTAAAGTATGACAGTGGGGCACTGGAGGATCCACCTATACTTTGATGTTTGCAGACGTGTGCTTCCAAAAACCTTCATGGACTACTTTATGCTCATTTCTAATATTACTTTTTATAGATGATCAGTGCGGGCCCGTAAAGGGGGTTTCCAGCCAAAGATGGTTGGCGGGCCGCACTTATAGGGTTTTTAATTTATTTTCATGGGCCGCAACAAAATCACATTTTTGGGCCGTATGTGGCCTGCGGCCCGCACATTGCTCACCTGTACTTTTCAATTTTTCTTTTTGATAGCGGACAGACCCAGCCAGAAACACTACTCATTGATGAAGTCGAGGAAGGTTCTACCTATGAGCTGGTCATAACCAACATCAGCGGTTTGTATCGTTATCGTTTCGGGGATGTTGTCAAAGTCATTCGATTTCATAACCAGTGTCCCGTGGTCGAGTTTATATGCAGGTATGCCTGCAATAGATAAATATTAAATCATGTAATGATACATTGCTGTAGCAACCAGCATATTTTAATGTGTGAAGCTTAATATTTTTCTTAACCAGTAAATCTGTGTTGTTGGGCCGTTTTAGGTTACCTACTGTATGCTAAAATGTATGCTTATTTTTTATTGACTGGTATTCTAAATACAATCTGGTATTAAATGCAGCAGAGTAAACCAAAATGTGATGAAGTTTTTTATATTTCAAAGTTAGATCAGTTTTAAAAAGGCATAAAGTATGCCTTTTTATTATTTATAACATTTCCTGAAATTGAAAAATAATATTAAATTACTGTAGTACGACACATTAAAAAGTTTATTCATGCCAATATAAAATGACACTACAAATATAAAATTAATTAGATACTTACGAATCTTTTAGGCAGGGCCAGTTGTTGAATGTACGAGGGGAGAAGACTTATGAGGACTTGTTATACAATGTATTGCTGAACACAGTCAATTCATGGCCGAGTACGCAGCTTGTCGACTACACAACAATGGAGAGCGTAATGCTGGAGGGCAAAGGTTAGACATACATGCTTCATTGGATTCATCCTTGTTAAAGTACAAATATCCTAAATTTTCAATTGCATAATTGGCTGACAGGATACGTCATCATTAATATTCTGCTGAAAGGCAGGTCTTGTTTGTGAACGTCATCTTTTTTTTCACTTTTTAGATCATCAAGCATTCTCTCATTTTTTTCGCTCTCGAATAAGCACCGGACCAAACATGATTTTTTTCACTAAGCGCCGCGGCAGTTATTTTTGAGTGAATAAGCACAATGAAACACTTTAAAAATAGGGTTATAAATACTACAATGAAGACACAAGCATATCTTTATAAATGTTTATTTACGATGATGTAGAGGGTCTATGATACCGAACTATGGGAGTACTTGAAATTGGTAACATAGGAATAATGGAAAGTGCCACGCCAATATTTTTTTATATAGACCAACATATTATTTATTATTTTATTGTTGTTGTTGTATTAAATTTAGTCTTCACTTATTTTCATTTTAAAGTGGAAAGAAAGTCGCCCTTCTACGTGCTCTTTCTTGAGCTGTCAACAAATTGTGAAATCTCGGAAGCGAAGAAGAAAATGGTAAGAAAATATTTGCATCTGCTTTTCAACAAATATATTATTAAGATAATAATAAAATGAATAATTAAATGTTATTTGAAAATCATCTTCACAGTTGGATGAGAACCTGTGCGAGAAATCATTTGTTTACAACTCTTTCCGCGAAAAAGGGAGCATCAGTCAAATGCAAGTGCACGTTGTTAAGTCTGGCTCGTTCCGACGACTGAAAGCGTACCTGCTCGCCAACACTTCAGTTAGCGCCAACCAATTCAAAGTCCCCAGAGTTCTTAGAAATGAGGAGGCCGTTGCATTTATGATGGAACAAATAATTTGATTGTTTTCTTTCAGTATTTTGCGGGGGTCTATGATTTTGAAATAATTTTTTTTCAGAAAAATGATTTCTTATTCATTATTTTACTAAAATGATGTTAACATTTTATGACCGTGTAACAATACTTTTGTAACAAAGGAAACTATGGAAAAGCTGAGACTAAACAGGGTTTGAAATTAAATTCACACAATTTTATAAAGAAATATATATTTGTATATTACAAAATAAGATTATTAAACACTTGTAATTGCTAAAAGCCATGAATCTTTAATATTCATATTATATTGTTTTAATATGTAAATGTATAATATTATATGCTAATTATTGATTGATGCAATACAGTACATAATGAAGATTGTTTAATTTATTATTAAACACTTGTAATTGCTAAAGTCATCAATTTTTAATATTCATATTATGTACAGTAGTTTTAATATGTAAATGTATAATATTATATGGTAATTATTGATTGATGCAATACAGTACAATTAGTGTATGGAAAGTTCTGACCTACACGTATCACCTAGTTTCCCATTTACTTGACGGAAACTGACATTTTTATTGTCTACAAAATTGGTTGAAAAAATCGTAGAGGTAAGATAAAGACCAAAGACACTCTTAAACTTTTCTTGAACAATATTTTTTATGAGTGTAGTAAAATTTCTATACAAGGTGTAGATGGTAGTAATTAATAGAAGTGTATACTAGAGCTATGAAAGGTACTATAGAAAAATGGATCTTTCAGAATTTAAACTGTAAGTTATTTGTTCCTATATTTTACTATATCTTTAACAGGGTATTTTATTCTCCGTATATATTCATTCAGTACTACAAATTTAAATTCTTCCTATCGAAGTCAGTTAAGTAAATTTCAATGCAACTAATAAGGGGTAATCCATTCTTCATCACATGGTGTGAGGGTGGGGATGGAAAGTTTAAATCAGTGTGTAGCCTACCACAAATGTATAGTGTATGTTAATGATGATAGAAACGTTTATTTAAGATGACGTAGGACCATACTGAGATGTAAGTGACACGCCAATATTCGCTGCACTTCTTTGAGTATTTTTTCCTGTGAGAAATAGTCATAGTCATGTTTTTACTACAGTACTTGTTAAAATAATGAAAAGTAAATGAGGAGGACTAAGGCGCTTTTTTGTGATTTCTTGATTTATTGCATTCAATATACATTTGGGAGGTTTCCATAATCATATATCTACCTCATTAACGTAACCTGATGCTCATTATACAATAGCCATTCATGTTAAGTCTCAGATAAAAAAAAAAGAAAACAAAAAACATATGATATTTATTTACATTATACAGATCATTACATGACACTGGGGTTCAAAGGTTGGAAACTCACAACAAACAAAAATACCCAACTCCATGATAAACAGTTTTAGATCGAAACTTAATCACGTTTAGCAAACTGTCGAAATTAAGTTGGAAATTTGTTAATTTTTTTTTTACATCTGACCTGCTTATTCTTAAATATAAAGCTGGCAAAATGCAGCTTTTTCTACAGTGATGATTCAACCAAAGTTAAGAGAAATATAATATTTTCCAAAATGACTCACCATTTGAAAGCTTCAACTGAAACTAGGAGGCTAAAGTTTATGGAAGTTTACTTGACAAAGAAAAATAAATGTGTAATAAAATTGGCTTGGAACACAGTAGCATATCCAAGAATCTTGATATGTTGGGGGGGGGGGGGGGGGGGGGGGACGT